TTTTCTTAATAATACTTTATTAATTTATAATAAAGAATATTATTCAAACTTGCAACATGTATAAATAACTTTTAGAATTATCAGAAAATTCTTGTATAGCATATATGAAAGACAACTAACCATGCAGAAAGTTTAAATTAATAGTTTTTACATTCTTAACATTTCTGGCAAAACAGTCAAAAACTAAGATAAACCAGTGTTTGATTTGCTTATGAATTAGTTTGCTATATATTTTGTTCTGAGGTAATACATTATAAACAGTGTAAATGACTGCAAAAATCCTACTAATGATAGAGCTCTTAGTTCTTCATCAAATATAAACTTCACATGGAGCCTAAGTATCTTGTATGTGTAATATAAATTATGATAATTCACGAATGTAAAACTGTTAACCAATACAAGAATTAAAATTTTCACACAATATGGGGTACCCCACCCAAACTGTCAAAAAATTTTTTCCTTTCCCTTATAATCATACTAAGGGCCCAAACCCAATCAAGACTTCCTTCTTGAAACCCCATAAGTTTTCCCACCCAGTCTTCAATTTTGTTTCTTCGTACTATTGTACTATCCAGTCCCTCAAGCATGCCCTTCTTGCAATCACAGTATTCATCCATCCCTCAAAAAATGTTTTCCCTTTCGGGCCCTTAATTTCTCATTTGTCATGGGAAACACGTTTTTCCTTTTTGGGACCATTTCTGTACTTTAAAAAAATTTTTATTAATAATTTACCTCAATTTTTTTGAAACTTGGGAAAACTAAAAGTTTTTTTTACATAAAAAATTTTCAGTATTTTAAATTTAAAATTATAAAGTGCTGCAAAAACAGTAATATTTTTTAACCTTTTTAGTTTTTCTTTGCAGACATGGGGGTTGGGCCCAAAAGGGAAATTTGGGGGAAATATAAAAAACATCCAAGTCAAATGAAATTTCCCCAAAAAAAAGGGCCTTTTTTCAAACACAAAATGGGGTTTCTTGAAAAAAATGCTGTTAGTCGAAAATTTAAATCATTTTTTAAAATAAAACCCAACCCCCAATTTAGGCAAATTAGGAATTTGAAACCTTAAAAAAAAAAAAGGACAAAGAAAAGAACGGCACCATAAATCAATATTGGGATGGTAAAAGCCCCCACCATGGGGAAACATGTTTTTAATCTGTAAATGTAAAACCCGATGGCAAACAATACTGTACTATTAAGGTTGGGTGTCAAGATGCAGAAATTTTTGGGGAAAAATTTGAAGAGTAAACCCGGGTTTACCCATGCCCGGGCCCTTTCTGCAAATTTTCCTCCCTTCAGTGTGTGCTCTTTCTTCCCCTTCTGAAAAAAAATACAATGCATCAGCCCCTTTGGGAAAATTTTTATTCAACCCGGGAAACACTAGAAATTTTTAACTGCGAGGGTTTGGGGATGGGGGGGACAGGAGACTTGTTTTGAAGTAGTAGTGTTATTATTTTTTATTGGGGGCTGAAACCCCAACAAGCCCTCCCTTAGTGCTGCCCAATATTATTCAGTCAAGCTTGACAGTCTCTGAAAAACATTCAGTATACTATGTGTTACTGGTAGTCCTCAGTAAAAAGTCTAATTTGGTATTCATTCTTAGCAAGAACTTTGTAGATTATATTTAGAATATTCTAGGTAGTAGGTTGGTAGACAGCAACCGCCCTGGGAGGTCTACCGTTCTGCCAAGCGAGTGTAAAATGAAAGCCTGTAATTGTCTTACATGATGGTAGGACTGTTGGTGTCCTTTTTTTCTGTCTCATAAACATGCAAGATTTCAGGTACGTCTTGCTACTTCTACTTACACTTAGGTCACACTACGCATACATGTACAAGCATATATATATACACACCCCTCTGAGCTTTCTGCTATTTTCTTTCTAGTTTTTGTTCTTGTTTATTTCCTATCTCCATGGGGAAGTGGAACAGAATTCTTCCTCCATAAGCCGTGTGTGTTGTAAGAGGCGACTAAAATGCCGGGAGCAAGGTGCCAGTAACCCCTTCTCCTGTATAAATTACTAAATTTGAAAAGATAAACTTTTGTTTTTCTTTTTGGGCCACCCTGCCTCGGTGGGATACAGCCGGTTTGTTGAAAGAATAATAATAATTTAGAATATTAAGGCTATCTTTTGAAATTCTTCTGGAATGAGAGACTAAACTAGCAGAGATATAGAACACCGCAGTATGTAGTGTGTTTTGATATTTAAACGCTTGAAAATATTTAAACATCTTGGACAGTACAGACAAGATAATTTAAAAAAACTGAAGTGTCCAAATGAGATATAAGAAGAAATGTCTTCAGTGTGTAGGAAGTGAGTGACATACACTAAGAGACAAGGTAGTGAAGGCTAACTCCATATACAAATTCAAATGTATTGCAGTTATTTATAGCAACACCTGTGAGATTCGATAATGGTCACAAGAGATGGTGTTTGCTCCTGGAAAATGACCCTGCACTTGAAATCCTAAAGAGAATACAGTACTGGTGTATTTAAGCTCACACATGTATATGCACCTATGGTTAAACATGTGTATGTTTGGAGTGACAACAGCATTCTTCATCTATAAAAGAAGTTACTAAACAATAGTACTAATGTCTACTCATGTGCACTGAAGTACACAAGTGAATATTAGATAACGGAAAGAAGCTGGTTGTTGCCTTTGTGGATTTGGAAGTCATTACAGAAGATTGCAAGTGTTGTAATGTATGGAATACAGTGTACTTTGTAAGCAGTTGAAAGTTTAAAGATTTTATGAGGGTGAAGCACAGGTTATAGTGTGTAAGAAACAATTGTGCAGTAATGGTTTTTCATTAAGTGTGGGACTTAAGCAAGGATGTGATATTGCCAGGAACATAAGAACATAAGAATGTAGGAACACTGCAGAAGGCCTACTGGCCCATACGAGGCAGGTCCTTATCAAAACGACATCTACCTAAAGCTACTCAAGAAATAACTCCCATACCCCTTGACACCAATCAAACCCAGCCCCTCCCACTCATATATTTGTCCAGTCTCTTCTTAAAGCTACCCAAGGTCCTAACCTCTATCACCCCTCTGGGAAGACTGTTCCACGCATCTACAACTCTGTTAGAAAACCAGTACTTACCTATGTCCTTTCTAAATCTAAATTTATCCAACTTAAATCCATTATTCCTGGTTCTTACCTGGTTCGACACCCTCAGTACTTTATTAATGTCTCCCTTGTTTATGCCCGTCATCCACTTATACACTTCAATGATATCTCCCCTCATTCTACGCCTCTCCAGAGAGTGGAGATTTAAGGCTTTAAGTCTATCTTCATACGGGAGGTTCCTTACACAGTAAACCATTTTAGTCATTCTTCTCTGTATGTTCTCTAATGAGTCTATGTCCATCCTATAGTAAGGGGACCAAAACTGAGCAGCATAATCTAAATGAGGCCTCACTAGTGATGTATAGAGCTGTAAAATAACTTTTGGACTTCCACTAGTGATGTATAGAGCTGTAAAATAACTTTTGGACTGTTGAATATTTAAAAATATGAGGTTGAAAGAAATCTCACTAGAATACTAGCAATATTCAGAAAACTTTGAAAGTATGCTTCAGTAATCATTGCTAATCATTATCATCACTACTGTTATTACTATAATATATAGGGAAAAAAAAAAACCCACTGGGGTCATACAGCACCCAGGGAAAATGGGAGGCAAGTTTGAGCCAAGGAAGGGGAGGATACATCCAATTCCTTATTTTAAGAGCACCTCACTAGCATCAAGGATCCTTCCTTGAAAGTTAGTGACCAATGCTAAATATGTTGAATGCCAGTAAAAATGCTTGGGCCAAAGAATGACTGATGGATCAATGGGCCACAACTTAAGTTGCTATTATAGACCACTCACTCTGGCTTTGGTTTCAATGGGGTCCCTGTTGCCCTTCAAGCATGATCTGGCTAGGTTTGTTTTTGACAGCCAGGCAAAGTTAAAACTAGGAAATTGTGATCTGTCGAGTGTTTCCAATTTAGTTTTAGAATTTCCTGTGTTAGGCTTTATGCGATTTGCAAAATATTTGTATATTCTGGGCCTGCTAGTGCCTGCAGTTTTGGGATTATGCAGCTCTTTTCTAATAACACACACTATCCTACTTTTATGTTTGATAATGTAACTTTGGTAAGTACCATCATAAGTGCCTTTGTATTCAATATCAAGTTGCATGTCTGATACTTATCTTGTAATATAACCACTTTCATAAAAAATATTCATTTTAATTACATGCTTGTATTCCATTTTATTCCCATACTGGAAAAGTTCTGGTAGGATCTGGACCCCAAGTAATTTTATTCTATATAAAAGATGTGTTTAGTGAAACTATAGCCATGGAGCAAAGCCATCTGTTGAGTGTTAAGGCAAACAAGTCTGCCCAGAGTGCTGAGCATTCATGCTAAGTCTTGATACTGTACATTACTCTGCTACTTTGGTTATCTGAGTGTACTGTAGGACCAGTAACAGGCCACAAGATGCATCAAAGTGTAACATTAGTGTAATGTAATTAGTGTATTATTATTATTACTGATGTATAATTACAGTAGCATATGAGAAAACACACAGGATTCAGTACAGAAAAGTACACTAACAAATGACAAGGTAATAATTAATAATACTGTAGTAGTAATAATAATAAAACTTTGTGATTTTATAATCTTCAGTGTTTAACCCGTAAACGGTTCAAGCAGATCTACGTTCACATGTGTAGTGCTACAAAAGTAGATCTACGTTTTTTTTACATATTTTCAAATGTAACAAAAAAAAAAGAAGTAGATCAGTTTTTTACACATTTTCAAATGTAAAAAAACAAAAAGAAGATCTACTTTTTTTACATACTTTCAAATGTTGAAAAAATGTATATATACGTTTGGACCGTTTATGGGTTAAGATTCACAGATTAAGAACATATATTGCCACATTAAATTACAATGCAGAAACACAAAGATTTGCCAATGAGAAAATATTAAAACAATTACAAAAGCAATCTCTAACAGAAATCAAGGTGACAAAAAAATTAAAAAAGAATCAAATAGAAAAAAAATAAGTAATGAAAACCTTCTGCTTCTGTAATTTTAACTTGGATAATCCTGTATATTATCTAGTATCACAGAGTGTGTGGTAAGGAGAGTACATGTATGAAACCAAATGTTTGATTTAAGATTAAAATAAATTTATAAACATGAAAATTTGTCATTTTTTCCTTGTCCAATAGGTTGAAACATGAGAAAAACAAGACTAATTATTTGGCATTATATAACCTACTCTTTCCCTCTTGAGTTCCTCTCGAACAGTGTCATGGATTGCTGGTTGGTATGGGGAGAACACCAAGGCATGGGGATCATTTGTTGTTGGTGGGTCATATATGGAGACCTTGCTCTTGTCAACACATTCCCTCACCCGCAGAAGGAACATTTCATTGTCACTATCATATCTGCAAGCAGGTCAAACCAAGCATTTATAAAAAATAAAGGGGTTTATTAATATGCACATAATCTTACACACTTTCATTACATAAAAGTATCCACAAGTTATTGCTGAATATATAGTAGTTTCTGTCAAGAAGATGATACATGATATATGGTGCCATCTCATCTCAAAATGATGAAACAATAACTGAAAGCCAATATATGAAAAACACTAATCAATAATCTTTAATGATGAAATTTAACTATATACACAAGCAAAATAATTTTTTTAAGAAACAACTCGCTTATATTGTACCACTGATGCCGTTTCCTCTATGAACTTCTGAGGAGGAGAGAAGTCATGACACAAAAGCCTCCTTTTCTACTTATTTAATACTGTCAATGAAATTTGTGAATACTAAATTTTGACCAAGATCATACACAAGAAATGTAAGAATGGAAAAATCTTTCTTCATGATAATATTTTTTTTTAACTATTAGCAATGCACAAATTGCAGTGGTTCCTCGCTTTTCGTAGTTCTCGGCAATCGTAAATTTGCCAATTGTAGGGGTATTTTCGTATAAACATGTACTCGCTTTTCATAGGTTGACTCGCGAATAGTAGTTCGTCCTGGACGCATACGCACGGTGTGAGCCGGGGCGGCCTCCCTACCCAGCCAGTCTGGCATTGTATACCAGTGAGTGAAGGTCCCCTCAAGTGCTCCTACGAAATATTTCATAATATTCCACTCATTTTAGTGCTTGTAATTACTAAATAAGCTACCATGGCTCCAAAGAAAGCTCCTAGTGCCAAGCCTGTGGTAAAGAAGGTGAGAAATATGTACAATGACAAAGTCTTGGGCCATTTTCGGGAAGTGTTAGAGATGCCAGAAACAGAGCTCTCTCCACAGTTACTTTGCGAGACAGGACTAGAGTGACTCTCAAGGTGGTCCTAGTGGCATTAAGAAACAGAAGAGAAGCAACCCCAGAGAAGCAATTGGTACCTGAGGTGTTGCTGGAAGGGGATTCCCCTTCCAAACTGTAAACAATCCAATCTCTCTCCTCCTCCAGTCTCCCATACACTAAGAAGAATCTCCAATAAAGGTAAGTGTTATGCTGTTAATGTTTCATTCATCATTTCCCATTGTATTGTTTATGTACTATATGTATATTTCATGTAAAAAAATTTTTTGTTTTAATACTTCTGGGTGTCAGGAACGGATTAATTGTATTTACATTATTTCTTATGGGGAAAATTGATTCGCAAATCGTAAATTTTGTTTATAGTAACGGCTCCAGGAACGGATTAATTACGAAAAACGATCAACCACTGTATACTCTGTCATTCACGACTTGTTCATATTTTTTTTTGTATTTTCCTGATTTTTCTTAGTAGTGTTGCAATACTTTAAGACTATTTTCATTTTCTGCTTACAGGTAATACATACCTAGGTAGTAAGTTGGTAGACAGCAACCGCCCAGGGAGATACTACCGTCCTGCCAAGTGAGTGTAAAACGGAAGCCTGTAATTGTTTTACACGATGGTAGGATTGCTGGTGTCTTTTTTTTCTGTCTCATACACATGCAAGATTTCAGGTACATCTTGCTACTTCTACTTACACTTAGGTCACACTACACATACACGTACAAGCATATATATATTACGACACTGGAGGACAGGAGGGTCAGGGGAGACATGATAACGACATATAAAATACTGCGCGGAATAGACAAGGTGGACAAAGACAGGATGTTCCAGAGAAGGGACACAGACATAAGAGGTCACAATTGGAAGTTGAAGAATCAGATGAATCAAAGGGATGTTAGGAAGTATTTCTTCAGTCATAGAGTAGTCAGGCCGTGGAATAGCCTAGAAAGTGACGTAGTGGAGGCGGGAACCATACATAGTTTTAAGGCGAGGAATGATAGAGCTCATGGGGCAGGGAGAGAGGGGACCTAGTAGCAATCAGCGAAGAGGCGGGGCCAGGAGCTGTGACTCGACCCCTGCAACCACAAATAGGTGAGTACAAATAGGTGAGTACACCCCTCTGGGTTTTCTTCTATTTTCTTTCTAGTTCTTGTTCTTGTTTATTTCCTCTCACCTCCATGGGGAAGTGGAACAGAATTCTTCCTCTGTAAGCCATGCGTGTTGTAAGAGGTGACTAAAATGCCGGGAGCAAGAGGTTAGTAACCCCTTCTCCTGTATATATTAATAAATGTAAAAGGAGAAACTTTCGTTTTTCCTTTTGGGCCACTCCACCTCGGTGGGATACGGCCGGTTTGTTGAAAGAAAAGAAAGGTAATGCATATTTTTTAAAATTAACCTCTTATTCAATATTCATATGGTACAGTAAACACGTGAACCCCCCCCCCCAAAAAAAAAAAAAAAAAAAAAAATACGAATTTAGTAAAACATATGTAAAACACTTCTGGGAGAATGTAATGTAATTCATGAAAAGCTGGAGAGTGATGTGTGAAAACCCTGGCAGGTGAGCAGTGGATAGTTTTCCCCACTGCAATAGCTTAGGCCTAGTATGTGAGTCCACTGTTTAAATTAGGGGAAGCCCAGTGTCACCCCTTACTGACAGGTTGCCCATCATGCCAACAGTTGCTTTCCTGAAGCATGGCATGACTTACCCAGCATGCTGACCAAATGTTGGATATTATCATCACCCCATCTCATCTCTGGATATTAACTATGGCACCCATAAAAATGCTAGTGATGCTGGAGGTGCCAGAAAAAGGAATTCATGCATGAAACTGACAGTTTCCAAGCAAACAAGGTTTAAATATTCTTCAAGGTGTATCATGAGATGGTAAACAGTGATAGAGGCAAGAAACCCATAATTACATATTCCTGTGCCTTTAACAGTAATTCACAATTGTTGAATATGTAGGCAATTGATAACAGGGTGAAAAAGTTATGACTGTCGTCATGTTGGGGGTTTATGGAGCCACTAACAGGTTAAGCTGTAAACTGTCAGTGGCCCCATACAGCAGTCCATGTTAGAAGTACAGTAATGAGGTGTGGGAATGTATATGTCTGATGTGCCCCAAGGTTTGCAGGAAGGCAAAAGTGTGTGCCAGAATTTTCTGGCGACTGACAGGGCTGAACCCATCATCCCTAATTGATCACCACTGTGGCCCAGCTGTATTGTTGCTAAGGGTTTTGAGAACCACCACATTAATGTTGTATTGAGCCCCCAAACCTTAGAAAAATTTTAGGTGATGGTGGTAAGTGATGAAGTATAAAATGTCAGAATACCAAGGCTGGAACAATACACAGATATCCTGCAATTAGGAGAGGAAACATGATGTTTCAGTCCATTCTAGACACTAAGACCAGACACAACACGTACATACATTTGTGTAGACAACCAGGCACAACTGGCTATAAGACTGTTTAGCAATGACTTACCTGCAGGCTTTTCTGTCATGACAACTTACTTAGGGAGAGTTCTAGGGAAATACATAATTCCATATATAAAGAAAAACACTTACAAAACAGCTGCCTCTGGGTTAAGAGGGTGATTTGTTTCAATTTTGTAGAAACATCGTCGTACATACAGCAATACATGCCATAAGTGATTTACATTTCTTCGCCATTTATTGGCAAAACCACGTTTTATGTCTAGCTCTCGAGAATCAGGATCAATCAAGGGATGGAAGACTGCAGTTTCAAATATCACTGTCTGTAAAAGTAAAATATTTAGCTAAAACTTCAAACTTATATAACACAACTTTACATTGAAAAAACCTGAACATTCAAGATAATTTATGTTTTGCTGAGATGTATTCAAAAGCAGAGTACGTACATTCATTGTCAATACAATATAATTAACCCCTTGAATGTCGCAACCCCCAATCCTGAAGTGTCTCTTGGTGTCGCAAAATTTAAAAAAAAAAAAAAAAAATTCTTATGAAATGATAGAGAATCTTTTCCCGATTGTAATGACACCAAAAAAGAGAAATTTGATGGAAAACTGACAGAATTATGCTCTTGCGAAGTTAGCAGCCTCGGCGATATTTACAAAGTGGTGATTTCGCCCACTTTGAGCCCTATTTTCGGCTAATTCCATTGTTCCAGTTGACCAAACTCATAGCTATTTCTTTAAAACTCTATTTTTTCTATCGATTGAGCACAAGAAACTGCCCATTTACTGATTTCAACTACCCAATAACGTGGTCAGAAATTTGCAATTTGGCCAATTTCACGAAAATTAAAAAATATGACAATTTCAAAATAAGGACCAGAATGAACAATGCAGACATTCCTGGCTCTAAAATAACATTTTTCTTCGTTCATCAGTCACGTCTCCAGGCCACTCTGATATTACTCTTGCTTTCTATTTTGAATTTTTATTCAAACAAAAATAGAAGATTTACTGCTATGCAGACTACTGCAATATTGTAATAATTGTATAAATAACATCAACCCATTCATGACTGCATATTAGAATGGCTAGTTGGACATTTATTGGAAAATGACATCATTTGTTTACTTTTAAACATTGGCAAAAATCAAACATTTCTCCTACTTCGAGCTCCATTTCCAGGTTCTTTTTATAGTAAAATCAGTCAAAATCACCTCTATTTCTATAATATGTTTTCCATTCTATCAAATGAGACCAAGAAAACGAGAATACAACCATAAATACTATACAAAAATAAACCACAAATTCGGCATTTTAATTAAAAAAAAAAAAACGGTCGGAATTTTTTTTTTCTCATTATGCACTGCATGCTCCTGGATTTTTTTTATATGGTGCACACTGACCACACAGACCCATTCTCTCACATGTGGGCCTACCAGCTTTCTCCTGCTTGATTTGAAGCCGCTAGAATTTATGAGTATATATACGTCAAACACGGTACCTCATAAGACGTATATATGCAACCTCGACAGTCAAAGGGTTAAAGGTAAGATTAATAAACTTTATATGTGACAAAAGAAATATAAATGGAATCATAATATAGAACTTTATTTTTACATGGAACAGAAGGAATCAGTCATCTGTTGAATGAAGATTACTTATTAAAAAAATACATACTGGAACATCTCCATCTGGGTAATTTTCCGGTATGTGAAGATTAAAACGAAAGATTCCCTCTTGATAAATCCCCTGACGAATAAAGATTACTCCAAACCACACTGAAATAAAGACAAAAACGATGTAATTAATAAATGTCTCAGTAATGGAAAAGGCATTAGTTGGTAATTTGAAAAAAAAAAAAATAAATAAAATTGGAAAAGGACAGGAAGGAAAGCTAAAATGGTACATTAATGCGTGCTGTTGAAACCGCTGTGGCAGGTAAAATACCCCAAGACACTACTAAAGTCACCTTCAGACTTCACAATGAGGCAGCCATTAATAACTTCACAAAAGCAGTAACAAACTGGCACACTGAGCTAGAAATCTATACAGATATTGACAAATGTTTTAATAATTTTCTAAAAAAGACCCAATACCTTTATAACAAGCACTGCCCTAAAAAACTAAACAGATGACAGCTAAGAGACTGAACAGTCCCTGGCTAACACCCAGCATTCTCAAATCCATAAATACAAAACACCGATATGAAAAACAGTACAGAATGGGTCACATAACCAGAGACCAAACAAAACGTTACTCGTCAATCCTAACCAGCCTGATAAGAAGGGCAAAAAAATTGTATTATGAGAACAGATTATCCAACTTACGAGGTGATATAAAAAAGACCTGGAAGACCCTATCAGAAATTCTGGGAACAAAAAAGATATCACGACATAGCAAAATAAAATTAGCAAAATCAGATGAACCCCAACTCCCACCAAACAGAAACAGCAAACAGACTCAATGATTTCTTCTCCACTATAGGTCAAAACCTTGCCAATAAAATCCCAAGCTCAGATACCCCACCAAATGACTACCTCACTGGCAACTACACGAACACACTGTTCCTACTCCGACTAACCATTCGAAGTCTCCCTTATTATCAACGCACTGAAAAACAAGGCGGGAGATTTAAATACCTTACCACCCTTTATATACAAAAAAGCGTCACAAGTACTATCACCAATCATTGCAACACTCTTTAACAAATCCATTGAATCCTCCACCTTCCCTACAGTTCTCAAAATGGCAAGGGTCACCCCGATCCATAAAGGAGGAGACCAAACAGAGTTGAATAACTATAGGCCAATATCCAATTTACACCCTCTCTCAAAAATCTTCGAAAAATTAATTCATAAACGAATCTACTCCTACCTCATCTCCCAAAACATTCTCAACCCCTGCCAATTTGGATTCAGGCCTAATAAAAATACTAATGATGCTATTATACACATGCTAGAACATATATACACTGCAATAGAGAAAAAAAGTCCCACTGGGGATCTTCATTGACTTACGTAAAGCTTTTGATACAGTTGACCATGACTTGCTCCACGTAAAATTGTCACACTATGGTATTAGAGGGCACTCCCTCAACTACCTCAGCAACAGAAGCCAATATGTGTACGCAAATGGGGCAAGCTCTTCCGCACAACCAATTACAGTTGGTTTTCCCACAGGGAAGTGTCCTTGGCCCTCTTCTCTTTCTCCTATACATAAATGACCTACCAAATGCTTCGCAATTACTCAAACCCACACTGTTTGCAGATGACACTACATACGTCTTCTCTCACCCGAGCCCAGTCATGCTAGCCAATACTGTAAACACCGAATTACAGAAAATATCTACCTGGATGAGGACTAACAAACTTACACTAAACATTGACAAAAACCTACTTCATTCAGTTTGGTAACAGAGCTACAGATGTACCTCTTAACATAACGATAAACGGATCACCTATCACAAAGCTAACAGAGAGAAAATTCTTAGGAATCCACCTCGATAATAGACTCAAATTTCATACACATATACAACAAATTTCTAAGAAAATTTCCAAGACTGTAGGCATACTATCGAAGATACGGTACTATGTTCCACAGTCAGCCCTCCTGGCCCTTTATCACTCTCTTATTTACCCCTATCTCACCTATGGAATTTGTGCATGGGGCTCAACAACAAATTAACCATCTCAGACCACTAATTACCCAACAAAAGGCTGCAGTTAGAATGATAACAAATTCTCACTACAGGCAACACACTCCACCAATATTCAAAACACTCAACCTACTCACCATACAAAACATCCATACTTATTATTGCACCTATTACATACATAGAACACTTAACTCTGATATTAACTCTCCCCTCAACATCTCCTTGCCAACCTCAACAGAACACATGACCATAACACAAGGCACAGATCACTCTTTGATGTTCCTCGTGTCCATCTCACGCTATGCAAAAACTCAATGCACATAAAAGGCCCTAAAATCTGGAATTCATTACCTGTAAATATAAAAGAAACACTACCTGTATATAAATTCAAGTCTCTTCTCAAAGTTCACTTACTCACTCAAAACCAAATAAATACTGAATAACTGAACCTTATAAATTGTATATCCAAAATGTTACTCACAATTATATCACATAAATGTTAAACCTAGGACCCAATCTAACTTTGTTATTTTTTTAAATACACTACCTAACAGAATACTCCATTCTACTGAATGAACAGCAATGCATGCAACCATATGACCTGTCTTTGTAATACTCATTTGTGCTTTATAGTTATCTGTTTACAATAATGTCTTATCACTGATTTCATCATTGCTTAGTTAATCTTAAGTTAATTTTAAGCCAGCCCATAATGCTATGCATATAAGTGGCTTTGGCATGCTGCTCTTACCTGTATTTTTTTTGTACCTCTGTATGTATGCTAAAATTTCTAAATAAATAAAAAAAAAAATAAATAAATCCATCATTACATAATGTATGTTTTGGATTAATAGTCAGTGGTGGGTAAGACATTGCCTTAATAAATAAATAAATATACTGTACTGAATTTCAAAGCCACAAGAGAAAAATTTGGTGGCATTAAGGTTAATAGGTACCGAGAATAGAAACTAATAAACTGATGTTCTTGAATGGAGAGGCAATGTGAGTCATGGGAGGGAGAGGCGACTGTTTGGGAAGAACTCGGTTTAAATTCGTACATTAGGAAAGTATTACAGTAGTAAGTTGTGTCTCAGACTGGCTGAGCTCCAAGACATCAATTTTACATCAAAATCTGAGGTTATGTAGATCATGTTCAGTTGGTTTTAAAAGGATTCCAGGATCAAAATTCCTGGAGAATGATTCTCAAGTAAAAAGCAGTTGAATGTAGACATACTTGTGGAGTGGCATGTCTACATTCATCATTTTAATGAAAACACTTTGATTGGAATGTGTTTCATCAACTGAGAGGGCAAGACAGTGGATTTGTTGGAAAAAAAAAAAGAGCAAAAAGATACTTTTGGAATGTGAGGTTGCCTCTCCCTACAAAATCCACCTCTTTCTCTTAATGTGATGGGAATATATAGTAAAAGCTCATATTCTGGCATTACGTTAAAAATGACTTTATAAGATTCGTCATTTTTCATTAAGGCAGGGTGATTCAATGAAGGAAAATCTATTCATCATTTATGCCATTGTTGTCTTTCCAGAAGTGCACAAACATCCAAATTAATCATTTAAATCACAACACTCCTACATGTCCTTTAAAGTGCAGACAATATATAATATAGTACAGTGGAGCCCCCGCATAACGATTACCTCCGAATGCGACCAATTATGTAAGTGTATTTATGTAAGTGCATTTGTACGTGTATGTTTGGGGGTCTGAAATGGACTAATCTATTTCACAATATTTCTTATGGGAACAAATTCGGTCAGTACTGGCACCTGAACATACTTCTGGAGTGAAAAAATATCGTTAACCGGGGGTCCACTGTATAATAAATACACACACAAACACTATGAAAGAATGAGGAAAAAGAATGGCATTGACAGTTAGGAATAACATCACATTTCAAAAGACCCTGTGAACCTCAACATCTCCGTTCATACACAATAAATTTTTCCCTTTCATATTATACATCCTTCAAATCTTTACTTAAGGTTGGCCTACCGGTATATACAGTAGAACCCCCGTATCCACGGGGGATATGTTCCAAGACCTACCGTGGATACCTGAAACCGTGGATAGTAGCAAACCCTATGTATGTTATTTTTCATTTACATTTGTACCTATGATAAAGTTTGACAAATTATGTAAAATAAGTCTAGAATTAGCACTTTTTCACTGATGGGAAGCATTACATGGCTTCTCTTAGGGTTTGGAGAACTGCCAGCATCACTGCTTTTGCACTTTGGGGTCATTATTAAGCATAATTAAGGGTTATTTTTGGGCCAAAGTAAACTGTGGATAACTGCAACTGCAGATACCGAATCAGTCATATGGGGGTTCTACTGTATTTCTGATGTGACATGGGTTATACAAAGTACATATTTATCACTGCTAGCTCTTATGCTACAAGAAAGACTTAAGTATTATGTGGAAAATATTTTTTTTTTTTACAGGCCACTTCAGTGTCATGGAATAATATACAGTGGACCCCCGCTTAACGATCACCTCCAAATGCGACCAATTATGTAAGTGTATTTATGTAAGTGCGTTTGTACGTGTATGTTTGGGGGTCTGAAATGGACTAATCTACTTCACAATATTCCTTATGGGAAAAAATTCTCATACCCCCCCAAAATCTGAAAAAAAAGTTCGAAAGGGGTTGTTGGGTTTTGGGGAAAAGAAAAAATTAGGTGGATAAAAAAAAAACCCAGGTAAAATAAAAAATATATTTTAAAATTTTTGAAAAAAATTTTTAAATTTTAAAAAATGCAAAATTTTTAAAAAAATAAATCAATAAAATGTGGAAAAAATTTTGTTTTTAGTTTTTTTTAAAAAAATTTTTTAAAAAAAAAATTTTTTTTTTAAATTTTGCCTAAAAAAAATTAAACCTTAAATTTGGGCAAACAGAAAAATTAAAAAGTAGCAAATGAAATTGTTATAAAAGACCGGTTTTTTTTTTGGAGGGGGGAAAAAACCACGGCCCCTGGGAGGGGGTTTTGTTTTTTTTAAATGTAAAAATGGCCCAAAAAAATAAGGGAAGTTTTTTTTGGGGCCCCCCCCTTTGGGCGGCTTAGGGTTAAAAGGGGGAGGTTTTGGAGGAATCTTTGGATTAA